CTGCGTTCTTGAGCCTTCTCGCCGTGTCCGCATCATTCCCGTCCCCTTCAAGTGCTTCCTTGTCCTCAAGGAAGAAGTCGGGGAACATCTCGCGCATCTCGTCCCAACTTTTCCATGTGGCTTCCTCACTCGGCAAGTCCTCCCATTCGACGAGCACCTCCCAAAAATATTTCCCAGCCTTTTTGACTTGCCGGTACTCCATCGCGCGGCTCGGCCGCACCATAACCTGTCCGTCCGGCGCGATCGCGGGTAGTCGATCCTTTGCCGCGGTCGTTGCTTGAGTTGTGAGACGTGTATAACCGGATGAATATGGGAATCGTCCGGCAACTCAAGTCGATAAGCAACCTTCCCAACCTTGGCCAAAATTTTATAAGGCCCGTAATATCGAACTCCGAGCTTGGTCGCGGCCCTTTGTGCGGCCGTCCTTTGCCGAAACGGCCTCAACTTCAAGTACACCCAGTCCCCGGGCTCGAACTCCACGTCACGCCGCTTTCCATCATGGTACGCCTTCATCCTATTGATCGAGCCCTCCAGCGTCCGCTTTAGCTCGCGCAACATCAAGTCGCGCTCGAATAACTCTCGATCGACCTCATCGTTCACGGCGCTCCCCATCGAGTAACTCACGATGGTCGGCGGTTTGCGCCCGTATACCAACTCGAACGGCGTCGCCTTAGTCAAGCTATGGTAAGTGGTGTTATACCAATACTTGGCCCAAGGTAAATAATCCTCCCGTCGCTTTGGAAACTGATGCACATAGCACCTAAGGTACTGCTCGAGTGTGCGATTGGTCACCTCCGTCTGTCCGTCGGTTTGTGGATGATAAGCCGAGCTCATGTTTAGCTCGGTTTCCTGCAATTTAAAGAACTCCGACCAAAAACTACTCATAAATATCTGATCTCGGTCGGACACAATTGACCGTGGCACCCCATGCAATTTCATCACATATTCAACAAACAATTTTGCTATAGACTTGGCCGTGTATGGATGAGTAAGTGGAATAAAGTGCGCATACTTGGTAAGGCGGTCGACTACCACCATGACTCCATTGAACCCATTCGAGAGTGGCAACCCCTCGATAAAATCCATGGTGATGTCTTCCCAAATACGCGCGGGAACCGGCAAAGGTTGGAGCAGCCCGCCCGGTCAGCGCGCGTCCGCCTTAGTGCGTTGGCATTCATCACATCGCCCAACGTAGTCGCGCACATCGCCCCTCAGCCCCGACAAATAAAAAGTGCTCACAATCCTCATCCATGTCCGGAACAACCCCGAGTGTCCTCCAAACTTCGAGTCGTGGAAGTGCCGGATGATGTCCTCGCGCAACGATCCCGCCTTGGGCACGACGACTCGCCCATGATAAAGGAGCCAGCCATCGTGCATGTCATGGTCCTCGTCCTCGTCGTGTCCCATGTTCAGCTTCTCGATCACGTCCCGGCAATGCGCATCCTCGTCTTGCGCCTTCCAAAGCTCGGCCCAAACGGCCCACGTCGGCCCCGTCACGGCGTCGAGCTCGGCCACGTCTTCCCGGCGAGACAATGTGTCGGCCACGGTGTTCTAGCGACCGGGCCGATATACTATCTCGAAGTCGAACCCCATTAACTTGGATACGAACTTCTGCTGCTCGGGCGTCACGATCCTTTGCTCGAGCAAGTGCTTGAGCGGCTGCTGGTCCGTGACAATCCAAAAGCGTTGCCCAAGCAAGTACGGCCTCCACACTCGCACGGCCTCGACCACAGCCAGCATCTCCTTCACGTACGCGGACAGCTCCAAGCGCGCTGGCCCGAGTGCCTTGCTGAGATAGGCCAAGGGTCGTCCTTCCTGCACTAGAACCGCCCCGATCCCAATGTCGCTCGCATCCGAGTGAATCTTGAACAACACATCAAACCTCGGCATCGCAAGCACGGGCGTGGTCGTCATGGCCTCCTTCAGCTCCTCGAAAGCCTTCTCGCTCGCCTCCGTCCACTTGAATGCTCCTTTCTTCATCATCTCCGTGAGTGGCTTCGCGATGGTCCCATAGTCCTTCACAAATTTCCGACAATAGCCCGTGAGAAAAAGGAACCCTCGCAACTGCGTCAAGCTTGTGGGTTTCGGCCAACCCACCATCGCCTCAATTTTCCTTGGATCCACCTTGACACCATCATGAGAAATAAAGTGTCCAAGGTACTCGACCACCTCTTGAGCAAACGAACACTTGGACGACTTGATGTAGAATTAGTTAGCCTCCAAGATCCCCAAAACAACCCGCAAGTGCCCAAGATGATCCACCCAAGTCTTCGAATACACCACGATGTCATCAAAGAATACCAACACAAATTTGCGAAGGTACTCCATGAAGATGGAATTTATCGCAAACTAAAATGTCCACGGCACATTGCACAAGCCAAAGGGCATCACGAGATATTCGTTGTGCCCTTGGTGCGTTCGAAAAGCCGTCTTGGGCACGTCCTCCTTGGCCAACCTGATCTGATGGTATCCCGCGCGCAAGTCGAGCTTGGAGAAGTAGCGCGCGCCACCCAACTCGTCCAGCATGTCGTAGACGCTCGCAATGGGAAAGCGATCCTTCACGGTAGCCGCATTGAGAGCGCGGTAGTCCGTGTAGAACCGTCACGTGTCGTCCTTCTTCTTTGCGAGCAGCACCGATGACGAGAACGGGCTCGTGCTATGCTGGATGAGTCTGGACTCGAGCATCTCGCCTACCTGCCGCTCGATCTCCGCCTTCTGAAAGTGCGCGTACCTATAGGAATGCACGTGCACTGCTCGACCCTCCTTGACCAAAGGTATGCGGTGGTCGAACTCCCGGTGCGGCGGTAATCCCTTGGGCTCACCGAGGACCTGGTCGAATTCCTCGAGCAAGTCACGCACCTCGCGCTGCCTCTCCTCGGCCACCACCGCGTCCTCGCCCGCCTGCTCGACCACGACGGCATACAACTACCCGCCACCTCGCCACACCTTCTCGATGCTTTTTAGACCAACCTCTTTGGTTGCCCCTTCACTAGCCTTCAAAGTAACGAGCTTATCACCGGCCTCGAACTTCATCACACCCTTCCGGTAATTAGTCATCACATCTCCGAGTCCCTCGAGCCACTGCACCCCAAGCACCACATCCGGCCCCACCAAAGGCAAGGCAAACAAATCCGCCTTCACCGTCACTCCTTGAAACTTGATCGGCACGCCCCGGTACATCTCCGAGAACCGAAAGTGCTCGCCATTCACCACCCTAACCTCGAACGGCTCAATCGTGGTCGTGGACAACTTGAGTTTGTGAGAAAGAGTCGCATTAATGAAATTGTGCGACGACCCATTGTCCACGAGTACTATAACCCGCCGATCCTTCAACCACGCCGGCAACCTCATAGTCCTCGGGCCTTTAGTGCCCGCCATCGCATGGACTGAGATCTCGGCCTCGTCATTGAGCACCTCGACCTCCACCTCCCGTTCTTCCTCGATCACGGGCTCCTCGTCATCCGAATCCATGAACTAGATCAAGAAATTCTGCTTGCACCGATGTCCCGGCGTGAACTTTTCCTCGCACCGGAAACACAGCCCCTTCTCACATCTCCGCGCCATCTCCTTCTCCGTCAACCCTTCACCTCGGTTGCTGGTGGTCTGAAGGTGCCCGGCGGCCTCGTGTTCGCACTAGGTGCGCCCACGGTTGCCGGCACACGCCGCAGCTCCGGGATACGAAACTTGCCCGTCCCCTTCGAGTCGCGGCAAAGTGAT